AGTGATTGTGGGTTGTTTTGAATGAATATTAGAAGTTAGATGGAGAACAGGATTGCAGATGAAGCAAGGAAGTTTTAAATGGGTAGGTATTGTGTAGACCAAGTATTATACTTTGTAAGGCATGTAAGGTGAACCTATTTAGATAAAAGGGGGCAGGAAAGTGTTCATTGCTTTATGGATTTGGAAAAAGGCATTTGTAGGTTTGACTAGTGTGGGAGAGGGCCTGTCGATCTCAAAGGGTTTAAGCCCCATTTTGCTTGTGCTCCGTCTTTTTGCTGATGGCTGTTATTATCTCATTTGTTGAGCCTTCGCTTGAATCCTTAGAATCTCATCTTACGCTTCCTGTCATTGTTCTTCCCGGGGACCCGGGGCCCTTTGGGAAAAAAATAAAAGATTTGAAGGGGAAATTACTGGAAAGAAATTCCCAAAAAAATGGGAGGTATTGATTAAACTGATTTGGGGAATTAGGGTTTTAAACAATCTATCTTCAGAAAAGGGAAATGCTTATTAGAAATGAAGTTTGAACTTGGAGTGCCTTTACCTTGTATTAAAATTAATGATGTGGAATAAACATCAGATTGGAAAAGGACTTGGGTATGGTGGTTAAACAGAGATGGAACCAATATCTGGTAAGAGGAAATAATACTATTATATACTAAACTGGTGCAACAAAGCCCTACTCAGTGATTTCTTGCAGTGAACATGACAGACTTGTGTGGCACAGTGCTGGAATTCCGTATACATATGCCTAGGTAAGTTTGTGACTCATAGAGGTGAGGTGCAGCAATTTGCTGCCAAAATCATGGCATTTTGGTGCAAGACAAATGAGATGTCACATGCTGCATCAGTCACCAAAATGAAATGACAGGAACATTGGCAGGGCTGAATAAGAGAGACCAATGAAACCATTCTAAAACCTGCAGCTGTGATGGGCTATACCCTCAATATGTGTCAGTTGGACAAAATGACTTGCAAATTTGGGTCTGCTGAAACATATTAAATGCAGTAACGTAGAGCAGGAAGTTTGTCCTAATATACAGTACAGTTAGAAATAGAAATATTCAAATAGCAGATTATTACTTTAAGGAGGGTTATTAGTAGAATATTCAGAGGTTATTAGTAGAATTACAGTGAATCATCCAATTTTGAAATCACATTATGAAATCCTGTATAGTCTGCAGTAAATCAAACAAACGGGCTTCCACATGGATTACATGCCACTTTTGTGGAAATTGGTGTCACGCCCCTTGTGCAGATATCCAAGAATTATCTACAAGCGGTATTAAATCAGGGAAGTGTTTTTGGGTATGCCCAAATGAGATCAATCTGTGGACTAAAATCACATTGGTATTAAAAGAGGATAACATCAAAACAGCCTTCATAGAAAACCTGGAAGCATTCTATAACAGATGGGAAAATAGAAAGTCTGGGCTGGATGGTGCTATTGCCCTTGGTGCGGATGCTGTCCTGGCCGACAGTAACTGTATGACTGGAGGTGCTGGCCATGTAGTCAAAAACTGTAAAGCTTTGGGGGTGGCTGCCCTGGTAGGAAAAGTAACTGTGGGGCTGGAAGTGCTGTCCTGGTAGACAGTAATGGTGAGGCTGGAGGTGCTGTCATGGTAGACAGTAATCAGTCCCTCAACCTTGGAGTAGGTGCTCTTCGCACCTACTCCAAGGTTGAGGGACTGATTACCTCATCTTCTGTATTTTACTCCTACTGTCTTCAAGTTATGTCCTGGAATTTGTATTGATAAAGCCACTGGATGGTGAAACGTCTACAATAAAGATACCCAGATGTTGCGCATGTGTTTTAATTTCATCTTGTCGGTATTATATACCATTCTTGCACAACTTGTCAGACACTGCAACATCATGGAATCTTGATTCTGAGGACATGTACATAACCTTCATGACTACGACAATTACTACTACAACTAACCCATCTTTTAGGAAAGGACCTACTTCCACTGGGGAATTCCACCTACCAGTGACTATGCCCTCGTCTGCTACACCTGACGTTAGTATATAAGCACCAGGCTCCTTGCTTCTGCTTCAGAATCTCCACGACTACGGTGCTCTTTGCACCTAATCCAAGGTTGAGGGACTGATTACCTCATCTTCTGTATATAGTCCTACTGTCTTCGAGTTATGTCCTGGAATTTGTGTTGATAAAGCCACTGGATGGCGAAATGTCTACAATAAAGATACGCAGATGTTGCACATGTGTCTTAATTTCATCTTGTCGGTATTATATACCATTCTTGCATAGCACCTTTCAAGGCAGGTGAAATTGCTGACCTAGAAAATGTACAGAGAACCTTCACGGCATGCATAACAGAGATAAAACACCTCAATTACTGGGAGCGCTTGAAGTTCCTGAACCTGTACTCCCTGGAACGCGGATGGGAGAGATGCATGACTATATACACCTGGAAAAACCTAGAGGGGCTAGTACCGAACTTGCACACGAAAATCACTCACTACGAAAGCAAAAGACTCGGCAGATGATGGAACATCCCCCCAGTGAAAAGCAGGGGTGTCACTAACACGTTAAGGGACAACACAATAAACCAGACTGTTCAACTGCCTCCCAGCATACATAAGAGGGATTACCAATAGACCCCTGGCTGTCTTCAAGCAGGCACTGGACAAGCACCTAAAGTCGGCACCTGACCAGCCGGGCTGTGGCTCATACACTGGATTGCGTGCAGCCAGCAGTAACAACCTGGTTGATCAGGCTCTGATCCACCATGAGGCCTGGTCACAGACCGGGCTGCAGGGGCGGTGATCCCCGCAGCCCGGTACAGTGGTACATAAAACTCTTTTTTCATCTTCTGGACATTTCCATGCTCAGTGCTTATGCATGTAATATGTATAGGTTGAAGATCAGAAACAAACCACCATATGGTCAGTTTTATTGTCAGTCATCAGACAAATATTATTCAAGTACCAAGTAACAACACCTGCAATAGAAAACCGCCTACGAACTAATCACCAGCTACCCTCTCGTCTGAGGCCTGGTGATCACTCCCTAATATAACTGCCTCCTACTTCAAAGAAGACTGCTCAGAAGAGGTGTTTTTGTCTGTGCACATACAAAAAAAGTCCACAAAAATGCAAAGAGACTCATTTTATGTGTAAGGAGTTTAAAACACCACTGTGCATGACACCATATTTCAAAGAGTTCCACAAGCTGCAGCACTTCTAGGAACATGACCAGGACTCTGTGTGTTTATATATTATAGAACAATAGTAATAAACAACATTTTTAATTGTTGGTTTGTGTAAACATGTTTTGTAAACGATATAATGACAACAGTGTTTGTGCATTTATTGTGTAGCATACAGCAAGTGTATATATATAAAATATGCCATTTGTTGGTCTCATAAACCATAAAAGTTACTTGTAAAAATAAAATGTTAAAAAATAAAAGAAAATAGAAAAAATTAAAATACAGTGGACTCCCGAGTTTCGTGATTAATCCATTCCAGAGAGCCTGCCGAAAGTCGAAATTGCCAAATGGTGAAACCATTTTCCCCATAAGAAATAATGGAAATAAAATTAACCCATTCCAGACACCCAAAAATATTAAAATAAAATATTTTTTTCAGATTAAATAAAGATTTACATACTGAAAACAATGAGAAATCAAGTATACATGCATATAAAAAATAATAATATTACACTTACCTTTACTGAAGACTTCTGGGTGGATGGAAGACGGGAGGAGGGGATAGGAGGAAGGTGTACACCATTGTTTGGAAGGAGAATCTCCTTCCATTAGGACTTCAGGTATGAAGTCCTTATCTGGGGTTACTTCCCTTCTTTGTTTTTTAAAGACACTGGCACTGGGAACAACTTGAGAGTCACTGGAACCCTGTCGCACAAAATATCTGTCCAGAGAGCTCTGTTTCTGGTGTTTCTTTAAGATTTGTCTGAAGTGGGACACAACACTGTCATTGTACATGTTGCCAATACGGCCTGCAAGAGCTTTGTTAGGGTGAAGTTCATCCATAAATGTTTGCACTTCAGTCCACTTTGCACAAATGTCCTTAAACTTTGCAACAACAGCACACTTTATTTCCTTTCTTTTCGCCACGATTGAAGTGATGGTTGAATGGGGTTTGCCATACATCCTGGCAAGCTCTGTAACACGCACTCCACTCTCATATTTTTCAATGATTTCCTTCTTGAATTCGATCGTGTTTCTCACTTTCTTTACCAAAGGGCCTGCACTAGCTTTCCTTGGGTCCATGGTGACTTATTTAGCAGTTGCAATCACAAAAGACAATGGATTATTATGTATGAACCCGCGGGGTGATGGTCACATGTTGGTAAACAATGGCACACTGAGGGTGAGTGGCGTGGGAGACTGGCTTTGTGTGCTCGGTGACGGGTACCAGACGGTCGCTGAATCACGAGTCTAATCACGAAACGCGAGGCCAAATTTTGCCGAAAAAATTTGCTGAAAGTCGAATTTCACGAAAGTCGATGCCACCGAAACTCGGGGGTCCACTGTATACGATTACCACATGACTGGTAGTCGGCAATGTTGTCGTAAGCGGTTCACTTGGTCCACTGTCTGTCAACTTCATAGCCTCTACATCTCAGTAAGTATTGATTGCAATTTTTTTTTTTTTTTTTTTTTTTTTTTTTTTTTAATAATCAGGATCGAGGCTCTCGACCATCAAAGGGTAAATTCGTGAGAGACTTTAAATTGGATACTGTATTTAATATTTTGTTAAAACTGCTAATATCATAATAAATCAGTTTGGTATGATAATTAAAGTGACGTGGTTTAAAAAATAATTCAGGCTGAGATTGAGTGATCACACACACTCTATGTACATTTATATCCCATATAACAAATTTCTGGTAGAAATGGGATTGCAGCATGAAAGTGAATTCCCCTAGAGCAAAACTTCATAAAGTGAGGGAAACCTGTACAAAAATTTAAATTTTCTGGCAAATTACATATAACCATTTTTGTATTTACTAGTGCTGAAGCTGCTGAAGATGGCCAAGGGTATCCGTGCTCTGCTGGACACTGTGATGCAAGCTCTGCCTCAAGTGGGGAACCTTGGCCTTCTCTTCTTCCTTCTCTTCTTCATTTTTGCTGCTCTTGGAGTGGAACTCTTTGGCAGACTAGGTTAGTGAAGGATGTGTTGAAAGATTTTAACTAAGGAGACGTATCTTCATCTCACCAGAGTATTCAACCATAATAGAGACAACCAGGTTTTTCAGTTATTGATTTATGAAAATGCAAACAGTTCTTACTTAACAAATCAATTACATATCTAGAAAACCATTTATGCTAATCTTTGTTAGGCTTTACACATTTTCCCAGTGACTCTCATTTTATATATCGAGGTAAGTTCCAGGAGAAAACTTGGCAGCTTTAAATCTAAATTGTAAGAGTAAAAAACATAAAGAAAGACATTTCTTGCATTAATGGGTTTGGAAAATTTATGTGGAGTAGATTGGGAAGGAATGTGGCTGATGTTAAAAATGTGTGGAATAGGTAGTATGCTGTTAAAAGCTGAAAAAAGTTAAGGAAACAAGTCTATAAAAGAGGAGATTATTTTTCATCACAAGTGGGCCTTGGTCAGGATTGTGTAATGTTACTCTGGTTGTTTAATATCTCTATATGTTGGGTTATTAAAGGTGTTAAAGAGAGATGTGGTTTTTAACATATAAATTTGATATTCAGTACAGTAGTATTAAACCCAGTTTTTGTTTGTTGTTGACACTACTTTTGGGGGACTTGGAAGAGAAATTACAGAAATTGGTGGAGTCATTTGGAAGGCTGTGTAAAAGGATACGTTTCTGGTGAGCATCCACAGTAGTAAGGTGAGAGTAAGTAGAAGTAAGAGTGAATACTTGGAGGTTAGATTTTAAGAAAGAAATTTGGAGAAAATTTATGTATTTACAAATTTGGGAATGGATGGGCTGGTAAATGGGTCAGTGAAAGATGGGTTGACTCACAAAATAGATGAGGCAAAGAGAGAAAGGGTTTTGAGAATATGTAGAAAGAAAGAGTAAGTAGAAGTAAGAATGAATACTTCGAGGTTAGATTTTAAGAAAGTAATATGGAGAAAATTTATATATTTACATATTTGGGAATGGATGGTCTGGTAAAATGGTCAGTGAAAGATGGGTTGACTCACAAAATAGATGAGGCAAAGAGAGAAAGGGTTTTAGGAATCTGTAAAAAAAAAAAGAGTAAGTTTGTCATGGCTGCCAGCAAGACTGGGCCTAGTATTTATCGTAAGTATGTCTGCCATAGGAGCAATAAAATATGAGAGCTCCTTGGGAGGATAATTATCATACAGTGCTGAACTTTGAATACCTTGTGGAACTAAAAGTGGAGGGAAAAATGGCAGGTGGAGATGCACAAGAAGCCAGACCTAGAAAAAGGGAACTTTGAAGGGATGAAGGAATTCCTGAATGCAGTGCAGTGAGAAAGAAAACTGGAAGGAAAGTCAGCAGGAAGAGATGACAATTATGGTGAAATGGTGGCAATTATAGTGAGATGGGACAATAATGGTGAGATGGTTACAATAACGGTAAGATTTATTTATTTATTTATTTTATGTCTTTGCAAACAGGACATTGAGATTTTGTATTTACAATAGTGGGTTACAATGCAAAGAGAGCTTCTGTTATGCCTATATACCTGGAGTATACTTGGAGAAGGTTTCAGGGCTCAATGCCCCCATGGCCCAGTGGTGGATCAGGGTCTGATTAGTCAGGCTGTTACTGCTGGCCACTCACAAACTGATGTACGAACTACAGCTTGGCTGGTCAGGTACTGACTTTAGGTACCTGTCCAGTGCTTTCTTAAAGACAGCCAGGGGTCTATTGGTAATCCCTCTTATATATACTGTGAGGCAGTTGAACAGTCTTGGGCTCCTGACACTTATTGTGTTGTCTCTCAGTGTACTCGTGGCACCCCTGCTTTTCACTGGGGGAAATGTTGCATCTCCTGCCGAGTCTTTTGCTTTCATAGGGAGTGATTTTTGTGTGCAAGTTTGGTACTAATCCCTCTGAGATTTTCCTAGTGTATATTATCATGTATCTCTCTTGCCTGTGTTCCAGGGAATACAAATCAAGGGACTTCAACTGTTCCCAGTAATTTAGGTGCTTTATCGTAGACCTTTTCATGAGCTAGTCCAAAATCACCGACTGGATACGTCCAGAATAGGTGATCCACTCTTCCAGATTCGCCTGGATTCGTCCTAGAAATAAGTGAACCAATGACCGGATTCAAACAGATTCGTCGAAAACAAGGTACCCTCTGACTGGATCCTTAAGCTGACGGGGTTTTACATGCTCTTATCATACACCCAAACATTAACTACAAGAAATAGATACAATACAAATAGACAGATCTACTTTTAAGGTGTTATTAGTACTAAATATGCAGTGATCCACTAACCAGATTTGTCTAGATTCGCCCAGATTCATCAGAGAAATATGTGAACAAAGGACCGGATTCAAACAGATTCGTTGGAAATAAGGTACCCTCTGACTGGATTCAAAAGCTGATGGGCTTTTACGTGCCCTAGGGTTATTTGAATGTGTATATGTGTGCAGGTATATGTATATACATCTATATATATATGTATGTAGATATAAAATATTTTATATAAAAGCCTATCCTTGCCAGCCAAATTGGAAGAACTGTTAAAGACAACTAAATACTTTGAGAAATTATAGACTAGCTAGCTAGGAGAGTTAACAGGTGTTGTAAGATGACCACCACCATGAAGATCTGTATAGTCTGCAGAAAGCGTAAGGGACGAAAACAGGCCTGGATTGCTTGCAATCTCTGTGGTCAATGCTCCCATGGTATGTGCAGGGATTTTAAACCAGTGACCACTCTTGACATAAATGCAGATATATTTTTGGGTCTGTCCAAACGAGATACACCTGTATGAGGAAATTACATCTGTATTAAAAGACTAGAACACTAATAAAAGATTCTTCTTGAAAAACATGTCAGCATGGTATGACAACTGGGAAAATAAGATGGGTGGTTTGGAGAGGGCTGTCTTGGACGAAAGTGCTCCTGAGGGTGCTAGTGTTGTCCTGGAGGACAGTGAACCAAAAGGACACATTGACCCTGGTGATGAAACAGGTAAAGACAACACTAAACACTATTCAGTTCACAAAGGTACGAAATAGAGATACTGCTGGAGATGGAACAGAAGGGGATGATGCCTCAGGGAATAGTGTCGACACATTACCAGCAAAACTGGTAGAAGCACCTATGTCCATACAGGGGTAATAGATAGGAAGGAAACAGAAAAAAATGCACCAGCAGCAAACACAGCTACAATGAATCCTAGCAAACAGAAATCCAATCTATGCAAATACTATGCCTTGAGTATCTGCAGGCACAGTATGCAGTGGACCCTCACCTAACGATATTAATTCGTTCCTGAGAGCTCATCGTAGCTGAAATTATCGTTAGCTGAATTAATTTTCCCCATAAGAAATAATGGAAATCAAATTGATCCGTGCAAGACACCCCAGAATATGAAAAAAAAAAAAATTACCACATGAAATATTAATTTTAATACACACAAACTGACACTTACCTTTATTGAAAATCTGGTGATGATTGATGGGATGGGAGGAGGAGAGTGTGTGGAAGTTGTTAATGTTTAGAAGGGGAATTCCCTTCCATTAGGACTTGAGGTATCAAGTTCTTTTCCGAGGTTACTTCCCTTCTTTTAATGCCACTAGGACCAGCTTGAGAGTCACTGGACCTCTGTCGCACAATATATCTGTCCATAGAGGCCTGTACCTCCCGTTCCTTTATGATTTGTCTAAAGTGGTTCACAACAGTGTCATTGTAATAGTCACCAGCACGGCTTGCAATAGTTGTGTTAGGGTGATTTTCATCCATAAAGGTTTGCACTGTAGTGCAGCAGCAGCTGACCATGGTGCAGCAACAGATGACGGTGGTTCAGCAGCAGCTGACTGTGGTGGGGCAGAAGCTGACCATGGTGCAGCAGCAGCTGACCGTGGTGCAGCAGCAGCTGACCGTGGTGCAGCAACAGCTGACCGTGATGCAGCAACAGTTGACTGTGGTGCAGCAACAGCTGATGGTGGTACGATAGTACATATTTCTCACCCTTTTTACCACAGGGTTGGCACTAGAAGCTTTCTTTGGGCCTATGGTGGCTTATTTAGCAGTTACAAGCACTATAAACAATGGAATAATACAAAATGTATCGAATGTATGCATGCAACCAACCACCCTGGCTTGTAAACAATGACGGCAGAGCTGGATGGACAGGTTCGGGATGAGTCGTGTTGGTCAGAAACAGCTGATGGTGGTGCAGCAGCAGCTGACCGTAGTGCAGCAACAGCTGACGGTGGTGTAGCAGCAGTTGACTGTGGTGCAGCAACAGCTGACTGTGGTGCAGTAACAACTGATGGTGGTGTAGCAGTAGCTGATTGTGGTGCAGCAACAGCTGACTGTAGTGCAGCAACAGCTGATGGTGGTGCAGCAGCAGCTGACTGTGTTGCAGCAACAGCTGACGGTGGTGCAGCAACAGCTGACCATGGTGCAGCAACAGCTGACCGTGGTGCAACAGCAGCTGACTGTGGTGCAGCAACAGCTGACCGTGGTGCAGCAACAGCTGACCGTGGTGCAGCAACAGCTGATGGTGGTGTAACAACAGCTGACCGTGGTACAGCAGCAGCTGACCGTGGTACGATAGTACGTATTTCCCACCCTTTTTACATATGATTGCTTGAGAGATGATATCTCCTGCTATCTGTTTGTTGTTTATCCACACCAATAACAGTCTCTGAACATCTTCTATCACTTGTGATCTCTTATTCAAAAATAAAGTTGCACCTTTTGCAAGAACAGCTTCCTTGATTGCCGTTTTCTTGGCCACAATAGTAGCAATGGTTGATTGGGGTTTGGTATACAACCTGGCCAGCTCCGAGACACGCACTCCACTTTTGTATTTAGCAATTATCTCTTTCTTCATATCCATAGTAATTCTCACCCTTTTCCTGCTGGGTTGGCACTAGAAGCTTTCTTGGGGCCCATGGTGACTTATTTTGCAGTTACAATCACTAAAAACGCTGTGATAATATGAAATGTTCTGATTGTATGCATGGATG